TCCAGAGTGTTGACACGAGTGTGGGCCGAGGGGGTTATTTATCTGATTTTGTATTTATGCAGACAATGAACTTCCAGCCCCAAGGTGCATGTTTCTTTTTTTCCCAGCTTTGTTAGTTTGGGCTTTTTTAAGAGAAAAATCAGGATGTGTTTTACTTTGGAGAAATAAAATAGACATTTTGAGATGACCTCTCTGTGAGGAAAATGAGTGGTAAATAAACCTCTCACTAGAGCTTTCCCTGAAGAGACTAATACAGTGCTCTGTGCTGAGCAGTGCAGTTCTGAGAGGAAATAGGGAACACACCAAAGTGACCTCCTTGACCCAAATGTTCCAGAGTTTGTCTACTCTGATCATTGCTCAAATACATTTCACCCAAAGTCATCCTCTTTGCTGCGGCAAAATTTCAAAACTTGTTTTATCCAAGAATTCAAGCAATGCTGGCCTGGGTTCCCACCCACTTGTGCAGAACGGGGTTCAATGATTCATGAAGGCACGAGTTTGTTGGTTTGTGTTGCATAAATATCTACGCATGACAAACGATACACAAACAATCTGTTTAAAGGGCAAGACAACATTTTTCAGATGATTCTGGAATTTTTCTTTCAGTCTCATGGTGCACAGAACTCCTGAACACATGGTACAGCCACCCAGAAACTGCATCTACTGCAGTTCATTACTGTACTAATTTCTGCCATACATTAGCTGAGTGCTCATTGTAAATTCTCCTATTCACTCATTTTTCCAGAATGATTCCCAAGTCTTTTCAGTGAACGACATTCCAAACCATAGGTTATTATAACTATGAATTGCAAATATTTAAAATGAATTATGCAATTTGTGCCGCAGCCAGAGAAATAAACCTTTGTGACATGTGAGTTGCAATCTCAGCCATTGAAAAATGAATTGGGCATGAATTTCAGATTGTACCCACCCCTGCAGATTTCAATTCAACATTTGCACGTGTCTTGCCTGAATTCTGATGGTACAGATCAGAGTTGAAATAGATGAGTATCCAGGGATAAAAATAGGGGCTCTGGCAATTCCTACACTTTCAGAAAGCAAACCTGGAAAACAGGCAAATCAAAATCTTCCGTTGAAGCTGAATATTTAGTTCTTATACACTTTCCCACTGTACACACAGATACTGCTCTAACCAAGATCTGTCTCCTGACTGTTCGTGACATCCTCAAAACACATTTTGCACCATGTCTTGCCCTGTTCAAGGAATGGATGTCTCACACTAGTTGGTGGAGAGTTCAAGAACAACACGGGTGACTGACAGGAAATTCTTTCCCCATCTTCTGGTTCATAATTTAGGGATAAAGTGGGGTGGTTGCCATGGCATTAAGAAAGCTGTAATTACCCTCATATCATGGTCAAGCCACTGTGCAGTCTCTGCTCCTCAGCCCCATCACCACTGGGGCTGTGACTGGCCCCAGCTGTGCTGTAAAAAGTCTCTCTCTGCCTGGGTCAGCCAGAACATCACAATCTTCACAGACTACTTAAAAATAAATTAAAACAAAAGAAGGAATGAGAACTGCTTCCCTAGTAGTCAAAATCTGTGTGTGGTCAGGGCATCTGCCTCTTCTCACTGCTGTGTTTTATTGAGCTCTGCTCCTCCTTCCCTCCCCCCCCCCATTCTAATACAAATGTGAAAAATCCCAAAATGGGAATGTCAGAAAATTTTGACACTAAAGTTATCAGAAGAAAAAAAGAAGAAAGGCTTTCTCTGCCTGGAGGGCACTCCCAGGTCAGAGACATCCCAGAGCAAGAGCCTCAATTTTGTCAGTGACAAACACACTCCTGCACTTGCAAATGCACCAGTGAGATGGGTGTGAGCAAGGACAGAATGGTGCAGAGCTGAAGGAAAGTTTAGATCCTCTCAAGATTGGAAGTGGAGTCAGAAATCCCAGACTTACAGTCAAGCACTCCTGACTCCCTCTCAGGATAAATGGCTCATGTCAGCTTAATATAAATGGCAAATCTCTGTGGCTTTTGGGACAGGAACTCTGCCCACAAGGTCTGTCCTTCTTGGCACTGCACCCTCTGCCAGGGTACAAAAAGCAGCTGTAAAATCCCACTTGCACAACTTCCCAGCTGCAGAAGCTCTTGGTTGGGAAGAAACAACTTGAGGTTAGAAAAGAAGTGTGTGAGTCAGGTCCCCAGTGCAGCTCCTCAGTGGGGTTGGTAGGAAGCCAGCCCATACAGGAAGGTTTCAATATTTCAGCTGCTGGGCACAAACCCCTTGTATTTCAAAGCTAGCAAAGAAATGTATCTTATGTCTTGAGAGAACCTGCCTTACTAAATTCCTCCACCATTCGTGCTGGATCCAACCTTTTTGGCATTTAAGAGAGAAGCACTGAAGAAATAAAAATTTCTCAAGTGAGATTAACTATCCACAGACTACAATTAGTTGGTTTGGCTTTAATCCCCATACCTCCACCATCATCAGTGCAGAATCTGCACTGGGAAAAGAAGTCACACTTTTCTCATCAGTTACAAAGCTGAGGAAAACAGAACATAATTGCTCTCTGAAGTGCTGATGTGCAGAGCTGCCTCCCTCCAGCACACGGAGGGAGGAGGGAGTGCAGCAGTGGGAACTGAGTGCCTTCTGCAGGGCTGGAGTGATATGGAAAGGCAGGACATAATCTAAGTCAAGCATGAGTATGTTGGAGAGAGTTGACACCCTCCTATATGTAATGAGACTTTTAAAAGCTGCAAGTGGACAATGCCCTGTGTGGGTTTGGTTCTTACTGAGTCTTTGCAATGGGTGTCACACCTGGATTGGCAGGATTGTCTACACTTCCATGGATAAATTCTATGTGGGAATAAAGGGGTACAAGTGGGAGGGAGAAGCTGGAAAAGAGGAAAGCTTGCTGTCAGCTCCATAGTGGGATCCACTATTCCCTGCAGCACACCAGAGCCTCCCCAGCCAGCCAGGATGGCTGAGACCACTGGCACCCCTGGGTTTAGAGGAAACTCCTCACATTTGCTTTGGCCACCACAGGGACATCAATGTGTTTTAAAAGTTTCAAAATGAGGATTTTGTCAGCTAAGGAACACTCAGCAGAGAATGAAGGAAACCAGCAGCAGCTCAGCCCTCCTGGAGGTGTTCAGAGACTGCTTGATCACTCTCTCTGGAGCCCAGCTCTCTGCTGGCCTGAGCTTTCCTGTTCCCGGGACAAAGGCAGGAAAATGAAGTCTCACAGAGAGGTAACAGTGCAAAAGCAATGAGACAACTTGGAGGCTTGAGGAGTCACTGGCATTGCCATCTGCAACACTCAGACGTCAAACACCTGCACAGACCAAAGCAATTCAGCTTCTGGGCTGATGTGCTTCCTGCCCTCTACATCTCCAACCCTCACAGGAGAGAGGCTGCCTGCCCTCTCTCTGCCTTGTCTACTTAGCAAAAACCATCCTGTTGCTGTGTTTGCCATTCAAAAGAGACACCACTCTCTCCTTCTCTGTGCCTAAGCCACTGTGCTGGTCCCTGCATCCACTGGGTGCAGTCCTGAGAGCACAGAGGTAGCCTGGTGAACCAGGGATGGGAGCAAGAGCTCTCTTCCCCTGCAGGGATGTGTTTTCAGCCTTCACACCTGCAGGTCCCCAGCCAGGGGGACCAGCTCACTCACTGTGGGATGGAGAGCTGTCCCCAACAAGGGCTGCTCTCTCACTCCTAACTGCAGCAGAGGAGCATCTGACAGAAATACAGGCTGAGCACGGCACAGTGCCACACATCCATCACTGACAGAGAGCTCTGGGACCATGGGATCATGGTCACCTAACAGTTTTTAATCAGCAGGAGATAAATACGTTGTAATGTCCTTCATGACTTAGAAAGCTTGAGAGGTCTGTCTCAAGGTTGTGACAAGCCCTGCCACATCCCCCATCCATTATATGGCTCAGGACTCTTTCTAAAACTTCAGAGATCACTGCAGAAGGGAGTTTGGGCAAACCAGCAGATCAGACCCAGCTGGGAAGTGCTCTGTGTCTGATTTAGTCTCCGGGAGGGTTCAGCTCTGAACACTAAGACAGTTACCAAGTCCTTATCCGGGTGTGAAGACTCAAGTACCCATCTACCAAAAGAACAAAATCTCCTCTAGACAGTGGTATAGAAACACCTCTGGTTCTATTCAGAGACTGCAGTTTGTTCTGATATTACAGGAGTTAACTGTACTTCCCTCCCTTCCTCCTGTGCTCTGCCTCCCACCTCTGTGCTCGGTGGGAAGGCAGCAGTGTCCCATCCCAGAGTCCTCCAAGCCCCTCTGTACCCACCCAGTGCACAGCCCACACACTCTGCTCTTGCAGTGAACACACTGAGGTAATCAGAGAAGGGAGGGGATGTGAGGTGGGGGGTTCAAATTCCCTGGAACCCAAAACTGCCAACCCTCAGGACTGTGTACCATGGCCCACACAAGGCACCCTGGGCTCCTACAGGGCTGGGTGGGCTAGGGTTGAGCTACAGTAAAAGGCATTTTCCAAGCTGCTAAGACAAAGTGGTAACACCCCTCCTTGCATAGAGCCATGGAATGAATGGCTCACAGTCAGGGTGCTTGCAGAAGTTCATCCTTTGCCTTTTATCAGTTCAGAGGACGCAGCAGTGGCTGGAGGGCCTACAAAGGCAGAACCTGAGAAGGGGCTATAGGAGGGTTGTGATCCCTTTCCTAGAGAAGATGAAGTAGGCAGCCTCCCCAGGGTGCTCCATGTAGGGTCAAGTTTTCCCCTCTGACAAAACAACACCACCAAAATGCACACACGACTCCTGCATTCTCCCAACTCTTTCCTGAGCACACCCCTGGAGAAAGTGCACATGCCAGCACGTACCTGTTATCTACAAACCCAGATTGCCTGAGCACCCTAAGGATTTCTCTTGCTCCCTCCCTTTCTAAACATTTAATCGATCAAGACCTTTCAAAGCAAAACCAATTCAGTACAAAAACTCTGGAAAAATCCTCTTTCTAGTGACTCCAGGCATCTTGCAGCATCCAAAAAACACTCACCTTAGCACGTGCGTCGATCCATTTATCGTGGTGGTGGAACAGGGCACCGTCTGCCCCAGGATGGAAGGTCTTCGGTATCGCTCATCCCCACAGCACAGGATGATGAGGAAGGCACGTCTGAAAGACTTGTTCAGGAAGGCGTAGAGGAAAGGGTTCAACCCTGAATTGATATAGCCCAGCCACAGGAAAGCCGTCCACAGCTTCCCCGGCACCGTGTAGTTTATGAAAGGGTCCACTATGTTTGTGACAAAGAAGGGGGCCCAGCACAGGCAGAAGCACCCCATGATGATGCACAGGGTCTTGGCAGCTTTGGTCTCAGTCTTCATGCGGTGGGTGCTGTGCTGGTCCGGGGGGTGCTGCCGGTCGTCCGTGGGGGCCCCCGCGCGCTGCAGCACCTGGATCTGCCGGGCGTGCTCCCGCGCCGTGATGTAGATGCGGTAGTAAGCCAGCACCATCAGGAAGAAGGGGATGTAGAAGGCCACCACGGAGCAGGTAATGGCGTATGGCTTGTTGACCATGAATATGCAGTAGGTGGAGTTGGAAGCCTTGTTGAACTGTCTTTGCTGAATCTGGGGTGGCAGGAGGAAGGACAAGGAGAAGGAAGAAGGAAAGAAGTTAGAATCATGGAATCATGGAATCAGAGAATGGTTTGGGTTGGAAGGGACCTTATAGATCATCCAGTTCCAATCCCCCTGCCTTGGGGACACCTTCCACTAGACCAGGTTGCTCCAAGCCTCATCCAACCTGGCCTTGAACACTTCCAGGGATGGGGCAGCCACAGCTTCTCTGGGCAACCTGTCCCAGTTCTGCACCACCCTCCCAGCAAAGAATTTCTTCCTAACATCTAATCTAAACCCACTCTGTCAATTTGAAGCCATTCCCCCTTGTCCTGTCACTACATGCTCTTGTTTATTCTAACAAGAGAATAATCCTTTCTCCTCTTCAAAACTATAATATCAAAATTATTTAATTGGGCGTGTAAGGAAGTTTACCTGAAGTAAACACCAGTTGGTGTTGGAACCCTGCACTCCCTCTTAACATGCAGCTACTGATATCTGTGAACACCAGCAAGTTAGAAGGAAGGGCAGGGCTTGCATTGGGGTTCAGAAAAGCTGGTACAGACAGCTGAGTGTCTTTTCTGGAAAGGTGGGGTAAGATATCAGTGAACGAAATCAGATACCTAGCATGGCTTGTAAAATAAGCAAAATGCACCTCCCTTTCCTACCAGCTGCCCATCCTAAAGGTGCTTGATGGGAAGCAATTTTTGCTTTGTCACCTTGTGACAGCAGCTTGCACCTCTTACTCTCCATGAGCCAAAAAGTATTCATAGGTCCTTCACTTGGTAGAGAAGGTGCCACATCTCTTTAAACAAGCTCTTCTAAATAAGGTGTTTTCACAGTTAACCATTTTTAATTCCTACAACTCTACATTGGAAGAAGAGCAGATGTGCAACTGAAATCCTTTCTCTGTAGGCAGGAACCTGCAAGTGAAGCCAGAGTGCAGTGGGGAAAATTGATTCCTGCTGGAATTACTTACACAGGTCTTCTTCTTACTTCATCTTCTTCCCCTGCTGAGGCTTACACCAAGACAGGGAATATTGGCAGGACTGGCCCAAAGCACTATCCCTTCTGGGGCAGTCTGGGATTCCTGGCTCTCCATACATCCCTTGCACATCAAGGAGGGACCCTTGGGTTGTGATGGCAGGGGCCAGAACTTCCTGAGAGCTGCAGAGGCCAGGGGGAACCAAGGACTCCTGAGGTGTTTATCAGGAGCCAGCTGGGGGTTGGCATGTTTTCAAGGGACTACTCACTGAACTGATTCGTAGAGGTGGGTAAAATCCTCTCCCAGAGTCACCACTGTCCCTGTGTCAGTCCTTTCAGACAGAATAATTTCAAACCCCCTTAAAGGTATCCTCCAAAGACACAACAGCCCCACTGCATTGATAACAAGGTTTCTCTTCCAGCATCCTTTTCCTTCCTTTCCCTGAATATTGCTTTTTAAAGAAGAATACACAGTACCAAAGATATCTGAATGGTGTATCTCCTTAGCTACTCACCAGATCAATGATGCCAATGCTATTCCAGCCTTGCATGATAGGGAGGAAAGAAATAAATGTTGGGATTACCCAGCACCCTCCGAGCATTACAGCGATGCGCAGTGGGGTCATCTTGTTCCTGTACACCAGAGGCTGGCAGCAGATAGCATAGTACCTGCAAGGAGAAAAGGGAGAGAGCCACTGCCATCAAAAGAGCCTTCCAAGTCTTCTAAAAATAGAATTGTAAAGCCTTTTCTCCAGCTTCTTTCTCCTGCCTTTCAAAACAGGGGAAAAAAGGAGTCTATAGCCTATTTCTGTTGATTCCCTCTTACACAAGGAACTCAGGAAATTTCCACAGCATGAGTAAATAAGGTTTCAGAGTGACTTACAAGGAAAAAACAGTGTTTTCTGTTTTCCAGCCAGGGAAGATGAGGCATAGGTTAATGCTGTGGTTTGTCTGAGATTGCAGGGCAAGGGAGTGAGTCCATACTCAGCCCCCCTCACTCCCTACACTGAGTCACTGAGTCCTCACCCTCTGTACTGCAATGGAGGAATTTCCCTTCCTTCCATTCAGCCTTTCTGAGCCAGTGTTGGGGCTTTCCTAACTGCAGTGGACATTTATTTTGACAAGGCTTTAAAAGCTGTTACTGCAAAGTCTTTCAAAGCTGTGAAAATGTCAGTAAAATGAAATGTGTTTTTCCATAACCAAGCTCCCTTTCTGCCTCCCAGAAATCTACATCTTGTCTGGCTTGGCTTTAACCTTCTGCCACAAGGACAGGGAAATATCTGCATGGGGCTTCTAGTCTTTGCATCATCAGGGGGATGTGCCTTGCACTCTCCTTCCTCCTCCAGATCCATTCATATTCAAAGTACAACAGGTCCCCGCTCCTAAAATAACAACTAGCTATGAACTAAAAATGTTTTCTGAAAGAGGTAAGAAACCAACTCTTCTGTTTGTTTGGTCCCTCTGCCACCCACCTGCAGGTGGATTTCTGCATCAGGAAGGTGCAGCTAACCTAAAACTGGAAATCTCTTTGCTCTGAAAATCTTATATATTTATAAGCAGAGCAGATCAGCAAATACCATCCTGTTGCAGACTTTTGGTGGTCCTGACCAGACAGTCTCTCTCAGGTTCCCAATGAAATTTTTTTGATATTTAGATTTTCGATGTCCCCAGACCTGCCACAGGACTTGGGTCCAGAGACACAAGATGAGCCCACAAATTCTCAGACTTTCTAAATAACTGAACATATCACTCAGCTCTACGCCAGAGGAACACATCTTCTTAGCAGACGAATAATGATCATCCCAGAGATGATCATCATCTCAACACAAGGGAGCTATATCTGGCAGATGTAATTGTTTATTATCTGAAAGTCACCTGCTGGAAAATATACTTTCCACATTTGGGAAGCATAAAAATGATGCAATATGGTGCCTCATAGGAAATGAGCCCTGCATTGAGGAAGTAGCCACAGTTTCAATAACTGTTTCTAAAGGGAATGAATGATCTGACAGAGATTTTTTTTGAGTCAAGCCTCAACATAAGGTATAATGTGTATATAGAGGGAGGCTAATGCTCAATGGCCATAAAAGTCAATTTTATGAGGTCAGTAGAATCATGAATTAGAGAAATTAAATTAACTGCACACTAAAGCTGGACTATGAACCTCAGGAAATGCCTGTGAGATTTTCTAAGTGCTAGCAGCACATTAAAATAAGACATATGTGAATGCACACATACACACAGTTTATGTGTGTTTATTAGAGAGGTGCCCTTTGAGATCTGCAATTTATTTAATCAAGATTTGAGTGGGAACCAAGAGTTTTGTCCTAAACAGGCACAAAAATACAAGAATTTCCATTTTTTTTCTGAGACTTTTTTTTTTTAAAGTCATGTGGAGTCAGCTGACTTGCTTTATTTTGATAAAATCAGGTGATATATTCCACACAAAGGGTTGAAATAATATCAAAGTGTCAAAAGAAAACATTTTTTAAAAGTCACTTTGAAACAAGATTCAAAGTGTCACAGGGGAAAAATGTTGAAACAAGCATTCAACTATTGCAATTTGGTAATTCCTACATTCTCTTCTGCTTTCGTGCGTGCATGAAAATCAGCCTGTTCCTCTGAAAAGTTTCACTTCCAAAAAAATGGTGTGTTTGACAGGAACTGTTCTTTCAGATCAGTGGGTGAAATGTTCCTCTTGTGGAACTTGGCTACGGCAGCCAGTGAGGCTCATCCCTCACATCCCTCCCATGGGGGACATGGAGAGGTTGGATAATTTACAGGATTTAGTTTTGGAGCTTGACTTCACTGGCTCATGAGTTCGAAGATTTCCAAATTAAACTAGGCACAGCCCTGAGTGACCTCACTGAAGGAAGATGCATTTGAGTTTGGCCCTGCATTGAGAAGAGGGGCTGGATCAGAGACCTCCACAGGTCCTTTCCAACCTACATTTTTCTGAGTCTATCAGACAGTGAGGACCATTACGGTCAGATTACAATATGTAAATGATTTCAGAGGATAGAATAAACCTTTCCTTTGTTCCTGGGATAAGGACCCTCCCTATAAAAGCCACAACGTGTTTGTGTGACCTTGCCCTCTGTCACTGCAGCTTATTGCATTTGGATTTCCCCCTGCACCCCTGATTTCCTTTTCCCAGGAAATAAACTGACCTTTGAATTCAAACAGGTATTTTCAGCAATGTTTATTAGGACAGATGGTGCTTCCCTTGGCATTACATGCAGCTGCTCCTCTCTCAACACAAGGGAATTACATCTGGCATGTTTAATTGTTTATTATCTGAAAGTCACCTACTGGAAAGTGCTGCCCAGCGCTGGACATCAAAGGCAAGTTATTGCAAGTCACAAGGTACTCTATTTATTTGCAGAAAGGGCAAAAAAAGAAATCCAATAAAAGGATAAGAACAGCCAAGACACCAGTTACCCTCTCGCAAGTTGGATAAGCAAACAGAAAAGGAAAACCACAATACATTGCTAATTAACTACAGCAGGAAAACAATTCTTCCAGGCAGTTTGAGTTATCACATTTCTGTACCTCTCTCTCTTCTGCAGCTGACAGCCTTACACTGAATTGTTCACGCTATTAAAGGCCATTAGAGTAAAAATTATGCCTGTAAAAATGACATCTTAAGCTCTCATATTTCTTCCCTCCCAGTGATTCAGCAGCAATTTTCCTCCACTTACATGTCAAAAGATTTTATTTTATTTCATTTCTGCTAGTGCTGCCATCAGAGCTTCCCTGTGTTCAGCAAGTGTCACTGTTAGGGGTAACGAGGTGCCGTGATCAGAGTGTGGGTGACAATTTTGCTGATGGGGAGGGAAGCAGAGAAGGACAATGTCCACTTCTCCAGAGCCCAGCAGGATTTCCCTCCAACAGCCCGGGGAGTCGGATATTAATCTTTGTATGCCAATAGAAGTCTCTGAAGTCACACCAGTTTTTGCAGTAGCTGGTGATTTGATGTATGTGATGGTTTGAGCATTTAAGCAGCTATTTATTCACTGGGAGAAAAGTAATTATGACTTTAGGATTATCAATAGTTTCAGTCAAAGGCTGAAATAAAGACATACTCTATATTTCTGCTTCCTTTCAAGCTACAGCTGTTTTCCTGGGTTCATAAAGAATGTCTATTATGTGTTGGTATGACAGTGTGATGGATGAATATAAAATGCAATACATACACATGATTAATACAATGCCCAGGTTCAATTAAATATTAATTCTTACTATTATCAGTCAAGATCCATGTTTCTGCAGTTCCTTGAAAATGTTAACTTCCCTGTTACCTACAGTAGAGTGTATGATGTGAAACACATCCTCTCCTTTGCCTCTGCAATAGCATTCTTTGCTGAAGGGGAAATACAAGAATCCCTTCCTGGAGCTGTGGATCTTCCAAGTAGCACCATAAAGCAAAGGTTATTATAATACTTCTCCTTTCCTCTATCAGACATTTGCCACAGGAATGAATCAAGTGCTAACATTTCACAGATGCCTTAAAAGAAGAAATCCGTGGCTCCGATGGCCTTACTTATGGCTGTCATGGCCACTGCAGATATCACAGAATCATAGAATCAGAGGGCAGAAACCTTGGAAGGGACCTTAAAGACCATCCTGCCATGCACAGGGACACCTTCCCTTAGACTAGGTTGCTCCTGGAAGCACCTTCCAACCTGGCCTTGAACACTTCCAGGGATGGAAGTTGCCCAGCTTCTCTGGGCAACTTGTGCCTCACCACCCTGAGGGGAAGTATTTTTTTCCTAATATCTAAAGCAAACCTCCTCTCTGCCAGTTTGAAGCCATTCCCCCTTGTCCTGTCACTCCAGGCTCTTGTAAACAGCCTCTCTCCATCTTTTTTGTAGGCTCCCTCCAGGCCACAATTAGAAACAGCACTGCAGTCCAACACTGGTGACCTGGATCTGACTGACAGCAGCATAATTCAGCTGTGGTCCCTAGCAAGGATGGTTATTTATTTATCCAAGCACCTCCTCAATCCCATGTCAGTGGAAAAGCTGCCCTGGGCACCTCTCCAGAGAGCAGTCTTGGAGTGTTCGGATTCTGCCTCAGGATCAGTGATGCTCCAACCACAACACCGCTCTTTCTTTGCCTTCTGGGCATTACAGAAATATAATTACTGAGCTGCATTAGATAATTCCTTGCCCTGGGAGAAAAATTTAAGTATCTCCCTGGTTTGCAGTGCAATTTTGTTTGAGCTACGGGCATGTAGACACTACCCTGCAAGAAGCTCTTCAGATATCACAGACAGACAAATACGCCCCCACTTTTACTAAACAGACTGGCTCTGGGGGTGGCCCACATTTAAAACCATTTGGTGTCATGTGTATATATAAAATTATATACATACCATATGCTATATCATCAGTGGGACCAAAATGAGAACATTTACCGAACACTCATACTGAATATTAGTTTACCCTCCTTAAATAACCTAGGAAAAAGAAGACAAAAGAATGGGAAAACTGTGGGTGCTATTGGCTCTCTCCCAAAGTTATGGTACAACAGCCATGCCCACACGGGCATCCAGACTGGGACAAACTCTCCAGCTGAATCCTGACCAAGTGATGAACCTAAGGAGCCACAATCTCAATTTATTTGTGCCTGTGTGAAATTAAAACAGCACTACTGGTGCTGCTGATATTTCAGTGAAACCAGGTTCTGGCCTCTGTACAACCACATTTTAACATTTTTTTGGAAAGAACAGCTCTTTCTATTTTCCTTTTTCCCACAGAGCAAATAAGCTTTGGGCTCTCACTGCGCCAAATAAAACAAAGTTATGCACCACCGGTCCAGAAAAAGAAAATGTCCTAAAATGATTATATCTAACAAAATTAAATTCTTATTAGAAAAACAACGGCCTGCTGGTGTTGAGATAATTACACTGAGAAAAATGCTAAAGAGAACAGTTAATTGGAACTGGATAAATTTAGCCAGGAATACAAACAAACGTATGTTGCCAAATGGAGACAGAGGACTCCTCCGTGGTCCCTGTGTGGCTGGTGTGTGTGGAGGGTTATTGGCAGCAACAGTGGCAAAATAAATTACCAGATTTCTAGAGGGTTTGTAAAGATTAATAAAGGACAGTGCATCCCTCAGACTGTGCCATGGCCATCTGCTCTGGTATTTTTCTTAATGCTCTCGGACCTGAATTCTGCAAACCCTGGGTCAGTTTTCTGGCCAACAGGGATAACTCTGCAGTTACGTGTCACCTCTCACAGCCTCGTGGACAGTCCCCATGTGCCCGGGCTCAGCCCCTTCCCGTGTTGCCTCTCTGTTCCTCCACCTGAGCATCTGGGAGCTGCACAAGATCAGATGCCTTTTTACCCAAACAGGCACGGGGATTTATAGTCTCAGAACTTTAGCTGGAATTTGTGTCAGATAATCAGATTGCCGACTGCCTAATCGTTACTTACTGACAGCTATTTAAAGCCAAATAAGTCTCCCCACTAACAACCACCCTGTCCCCCTGGACAGCCAGCAGATGTTCTGCTGGCACAGCTGCTTCTCCCTGTCCTGGAAAAAGACATTGTGCTCCCAGCCTTAAGCCCCACCATGGCCCGGGCATCCTTGGGGGAGCAAAAGGCTCTTGGGAATGGTCCTATGCAGGGCTAAGAGTTGGACTCGATGATCCTTGTGGGTCTCTTCCAACTCAACATATTCTGTGATTCTATGAAATCAATCCCTTGTGCCTTGTCTGTGACACGGTGCAGAAGAGATGAGTATGGAATGATGTGCTGGAGCCCTGGGAGCAGGAGGGGCAGGCACAGCAGGCAAAGAGAGTGACCACCCCATGCCCCTGGACGTGCTCCTCCGACCACACTCCTTTCCCCCTGGCACAGGGAGAGGGTTCCTTCTGCACAGGGACTGCCACTGCAGAGCATCGGGGTTTGGGAGTCTCTAAAACATCATCTCTCTCAAGGGACTGTGCTAATTTGATGTCTGAACAGTACATTAATGTTAATTAATGTTTGTAAACGGCACAACAAGCATCTGTCACTCTGGTGCTCCAACACTCTTTGGATACATCTGCTTTGCTTTAGCCCTTATTTAGCAGTGATTATGGGGGATGTTTGAATTCCGGTAAGACGAGTGTTGGATGTACAAACACACACAGTCAGGGCTGGTTTGTCGTGTGCAAATGTTTGGAACACACCAGGCAAACAGTGCCCAGCAGAGACACAGCCTTTGGGGGAAGCTTCCCAGGCTGGGATACAGCCAGGGGGGTAGATGAAGCAGAGAGCCCAACACAGACATTTTTGTTTCTCTGTTTGTTTCTCTGTTGCTTCCCCCTCCCACCCAAGACTTCGAGAAGTAACTGTATTGCAAATTGTACTGCAAATATTGGAGAAGAAAATTGCCTTTCCTGACGGGTTAACTGTATTGGAGACTATCAGAGCTTCTTGGTCTGCTTATATGCAGTGCAATTATTTTTATTGCACAGGCACAAAGAATGGACGTGTATGCATAAAACATGCAATAAATAAATAATTCAAGGATAAATCTTTCTATTATGTTAGAATATCAAAGAGATGATGAAAGAGCATAACACAGTGGTTGGAAACTCTGGATTCAGTGAGCCCTGAGATACCCCTGCTACATTGGAAAAACCCTTTTTCAGCTGAGACTGAAAGTGGCTCTAAGTCTCTGCAGTACTTGGCTCCCTGAGCAGTAAAATCAGTTTATCCTGTGGTGATTTCTCCAGATTTTCTCAAATGCCTTTGAGAATTAAAGCTGGAATGCTGGCTTGTTTCTTTCTTTTACGGAAGCAGCAGTGGAAATAGATACAAGATATTATCAGATAAAAGTATTTTCAACTTGTGAAAAGTATTTTTAACTTTGTGAAAATGTTAAAGGGAATGACTTCCCAACTGAGTCCTGAGGATTAGATTAACCACCCAGTTTTCTTAAAAAACCCCTCAAAACTCACAGTTGTATGCCCTGAAACAAAACAGAAGGCAGGAAATAGATGAATCATGGAAAAAATACCAACTAGAAGCAGCACACTGCCATAAAGTCTGAATGAACACGAGAGCAACAGCCAGCAAAAATTAAATCAAACCCTGTGAAGGAAGCAGAGCTGCCAATGCTCCTCCACCTGCCAGGACCAGAGAAGCACTGGGGTTGGAGAACAGATCAGTAATGGGCTGAGTCATCCTTCCCTTCACAGAAACCTAGTCATTCATCTACCTGTTCTGCTCTTCTCAGGGCCATTCACTTCTACCTCCTCATCTATTCTGTCCTCTTAGCACTTTTTGGGTTCTTACTGAGGAAGAAAACAACCCCAAAACAACTAAAAACTGTGGAAGAAATTGAAGTTTCTATCAGCAACCTTTAAAGCCCAAGTCTGGGGTCTGTATCCCTAATGCATTAACTCTGAGCCACACATTCTGATTGGCAAGGCTGTCCCAACCCCTTTGCCACCCCAGACAAAGCTGTCTCAGGATGGTGGACCAGTGGGTACAGGCAGCAGGAGCAAGAGCTCATGACGTGGTGGGGGTCTGCAAGAGGGCAGGAGAAACGGGACAGCCTCCTTTCTGTGCACCCCACATGGGATGTTCCTCATCCCCTGCAGGTGTTGGAGATCAGGGGGTGAAATAACATTTTCCCTTCATGCCCCCTTCTCTACACAACCCCCTGTAGCTAATTAAGAGCCTGGAGAATCAAAGTCCAACATTTTATAGAGCAAGGTTACATCCAGAGCACAGTGCCCAACATCTGCTTTCCTGGTAATTGGCTCAAAGTGGCAATTTGTCAACATTTTTGAGATAACAAGCTTCCTATTTGTGTTCCAGCCATCTAAACGTCCAGATAAGGGAAGAAGCCGTAGCTGTTTGACATCAGCTTTCCTCTGGATACAAAACTGCCCGTGCTGGTGCCCCCTCTCCCACCACAGAGCTGTGCTGCCCATCAACGGGAGGTTAATCAACTATCTTTTGAAGTCTGGCTCCACACAGACTCTCTGGATGAAAGATGCTCTTTAAATATCAGTTGTCACAATGATGAGAATGATTACGGTTATTTCAGCCATATTAGTGATACTCAGTAACAGTATTTTTAATAATATTGAAATCCCCACACAGAACTCAAACAAAAGCTGTAAATATTGTTAGAATAGCTGGTCAGAATGTTTTCTACTAACTATTTATCTTGTGAAAAATTCTTGCTATTCTGTATGGGAAGTTCTGCCCTTTAACCTGGAAAACTGCAGACAACAGTAAAAGAGGAACCAAGCCCCTAGCTTGATGTCAGCATATATCTCATTCCTTTCCAAGTTTTTCTGCACTCACAGGATTCAGACAGCTCTCTCCAAAATCAGCCACTGGGAGAGACTTGTTGCTCTGTGGTGCCAAATAGGTTCATCTTTGCCCTTTGGCTACTCCAGCTAACCCAAGGCACTGCAGAGAACTAAAGCACTACAACTATTCCCTGTGCCCTCCTGTTCGTACCTGTCCAGTGAGATACAGCACAGGTGCAGGATTGATGCCGTGGTGAGCAGGACATCGAGGGACGTCCGGACCAGGCAGAACATCTCTCCATAGATCCAGTTGTCCTGAACCAACTCAATGGCTCCGAAGGGCATCACCAGCACTGACACCAGCAGGTCCGCAAAGGCAAGGGAAACAATGAAATAATTGGTCTTGATTTTCCTGTAAGAGAGATCACAAAATTAGAGTGGGATAACTTCAGTGCAGCAGCTGAAGATTTGATCTGCACCGAGACTTCAGACAGAGTTTGGGCCTAATTTGCTCCATCACACTAAAAGGTCATCCCTAACATGCCCTCACTTTATACAGTCGCCTCTAGGTTGTTGCTGGTCTTTACAGCTAAATATCCACCGTGTTCGCTGTATAAACACATATTTCTGCTCACACAGAGGAGGCAAATAGATGCTCACAGGTCTCTGCATGTGGCTCAGCCCCACAGCTTGCGCTGGAGTTTGGGGTAGAAGAGGGGGATTTTATTTTAACTTGTAAATTGATAAAATCCTTCCAGAAAGCACTGAGAATAATCTAGACTGAAGCTGTAATTTTAACTTGAAGAGTACTTTTTAAATCACAACAATAAAATAGAATTAAATCCATTAAAAATCCCACGCAGAACACGAACAGAGGCTGTTAAATATCTCACTCTGCTCCTGAGGTTGGTCTGACAATTCCCAGGGTTAGAAGCAACCTCAAAACAGGAAAACAGGAATTTTGTCTGTGACCCCCCAAAATCATGGGCAACATTTGCCAAGCTGAGGCAGTGCAGCACAACTGCAACCGGACCTTGATCTTCGTGGTTTTCTGATGGGCGTGTTGGGAACTATGACATGGAAAAAAGGGGTAGAGGCCAACCTGCTTCTCCAAGGAATTGCTGCTTAGCTCAGTTTCCACTGATTTATCTGGTTTTCTACACTGAGAGTGTTAAAAATGCCGAGGATGGATACTAAAATGATCCCACCACCACAGTGCAGGTGCGAGGGGGGACGTGCAAGGCCAGTGTGAGTCTGACACTGCCGTGGTGCAACGAACGGCCAGAAACCCTTTGTCGTTGCAGTTTATGCCCTCAGCTGCAGGCACAGGGCATTTTAGTGGGGGATTTTCCCATTCCTCCCCGTGGGAGGGCAGGTGGTGGCCGGCTGGGTGGGCTCACCTGAGCTGCCTGTCCCGGCACACGGCCACCATCACCAGCAGGTTCCCCAGGATGGCCATCAGAATGACGGCGGAGATGAAGGTGAGCAGCACGATCTTCTCCGCTATGCCGAAGCCCTCACTCGAACTGGGGAGCACACAGAGATAAAAGAGAAAAGAAAAGAAGCTGCAGCAGCACTGGGAGGGGATGGCCCAGGCGGTGCCAGCCACAGGCACCGGTGTTGGTGAGGGTGAGAGCAGCCTCCTGCGCCTGTCACAGCGAGACCTTCCCACCAAGATCCTGAACAAAAAGCATTTCTATCCATGTCCACTTCTATCCATTTCCATCCATCAGCACAAAGGCTACAGGTGGAGGATGCCTGCAGTGCCCATGGCTCCCAGAGCTGGATGAGCCACCACAGTGGAGGAGCCCATTTATGAGATCTGGAGTGCCTGTGCCTGATCTTTGGCAGTCCAGTTCAGAGCCTCTGGACAAGAATGTTTTCATTCTCTTTTCACCCCAATAAATAATGTTATTTTCCATGCAGAAGTATTCTGGTTTTCTTTTCTGTTGTTTTTCCATTTTTGTCCCCAAGGTCTTAATATCATAGCATCACAAAATAGTTTGGTTTGGGAGGGACCTTAAAGACCATCTCATTCCACCCCCTGCCACGGGCAGGGACACCTTCCACTATCCCAGGTTGCTCCAAGCCACATCCGACCCGGCCTTGAACACTTCCAAGGATGGGGCAGCCACAGCTTCTCTGGGCAACCTGTGCCAGGGCCTCCCCACCCTCACAGGGGAGAATTTCTTCTATATATCTCACCTGAATTTCCCCTCTTTCAGTTTGAACCCATCACTCCTTCTTCTGTCACTACAGTTCCTGAGTTGATAGGACAAGAACTACTGGGTTCAAACTTTCCTCAAGTGAGCATTTTACATCTTAAATTTTGAAATCTTCAACATAATATTTTCCCTTGTTCTCTCCTTCCTTCACTCTGCCACAAAAGAAGAGGCAGCCCCGCATCTTTTTTTCTCTTTTCCACTTGGTAACTTTTCCAGAAGAGAAAGGAAATAAAATGTTTTATCAATGCATGCCCAATTTCCCCCTACCCTGAGATCAAAAATTTCTTTCAGTTAATGAAGAAAAGAAAAAGGAAGGATAACATTAAAACACATATTTTAAGTCTGCATTTCTAGAAATAGTTTGCTAAATGTTTCAAAGAAATTACTGGTGGAGTTTTTTTCAGAGCCTGCAAAGCAGGAAGGTAATACACAGCATGTAATAAAAAGTGTCCAATTCCCCATAAAACTGGTTTTATTATAAACGTTTGAGCCACTTTTCCCTTAAAACTATTTGTAATTATGTATTCAGAAAGAAATGCATCCTAGACCTTCACCTGCTTGTGTAACTTTCCCCATTACATTACCCAGGTGAGAATGGGTGTTTGTTCGTCTTATCAAGTGTGGCTGGAAATAAACTGGCACTAAGAGCAGCACTTGACACTAATTCAGCAGGGAAATTTCTTCTCAGCATACGGAGCTGATATTCGACACCCAGGATTAATGCTGAGAGATTGTTCAGGTAATTGAAAAATTGAACTGTTATTCTGTTTTACTTTAACTGCCTCTGGGGTCACTTTTTATTTACTAAATAACATTCCAGGCTTTTACACTTTATCTCACTGAATTCTCCTGATCTGGGCAAAGCTAAAAATGATTAGAGACTGCTGAAGTCCTGCCTGTGCTATGTTAAGAAGGTTCTAGAGAATGACTTTACCCTGAGCCTGCATTGCAGAACACCCACTTAATCCCCATTTTTGTCCCTAAAAGCCACTCAGAGTATGACTTCTCCTCCCACTGCCAGTTGCCCCAGTGGGGCAGACTGCAGCCTGCTGATGTTGGATTCTTCATATGGAATATGAATAATATCGTAGGAATTCCTTATTTTTTGATGTTTTACAAGGCAGTACATTACTGGGTATAGGTTCATCCAGGTAGGTGAGGATGTTTAGGAGCAAAAAAAAGAAGAGGAAAGGAGAGGCCCTGGATTCATACCAGTTTCACAGAAAAACCCAGCACTATGCAGATATGTGCAGGATCCAAACCATGTGCAATTATATGGGTATAATAAGAAAGAGAATCATAGAATATCCTGAGTTGGAAAGGACCCACAAAGATCATGGAAGTTCAGCTCCTGTCCCTGCACTGAACAGCCCCAGGAATCCTGTCATGTGCCTGACAGCATTGTCCAAGCACCTTTAACTGTCAGGCTTTCTCACCTGTGAGAGCACAGGCACCTTTTAATTCCACATAATCTTCTGTGTTAAAACTAAGAGATTAATAAGATCACGTAGAGTGGACAGTTGGATGTATCCCACCTCTCTACAAGGTTGTCACCCAACAGAGCTGGCCACTGGCCACACAGCTGCTCCTGGAATACGATATCACTCCTTCCCCTCTCTAGAAATCACTCTCTCTCTCTCCCCCATCCATCTCCACATACATCTGGTCTGAAAGACCTCATTTTCCTCAGTCCTTCATTGGAGGTTTGGGGAGGGAGGAAGATGGGAGCTGCTGACACATGAACCTGCACTGCAGCAAAGTCCTTTGGAAAAGGTTGAGCAGCTGGTGGGCACCATGCACAGCAGGACACACAGACTACTCGGGGCCCACTGTGTGCTCTCCTCTGCAATGGGCTGCTGCACAGCTGGGGAGGGCCAGACACTGGACAAGCATCAGTATTTTGGGCACAGCTGAATGCCAGAGCCTTCATTAATGATGTTCATCAGCTGAAAAAGACACTGTGAAAACTGAAGGGAAATGGAAAAGAAACAATTTCAAAGTCAGGTCTCAGCCACAGCCCCTCTAGCTGGGTACCAGATGGGATGAAAAGCCTCAGGAACAATGGGGATGGTGGGATCAAAGGCACCTTCACTGAGAGCTGTAATTGTACCTGCCCAAATAACCTTCACAATAGGCTGACACTGCTGCCTGGCTGCATTTGTGAAACAAAATGTCAAACCACGCTGAATAGCACCCACAAAAGATGTTCCTCTTCCTCCCAGGTGAGCGTGGCAGCACATACATGCTGGCACAGCAGCAAAGAGGATGATGAGGGCTTAGTTTATACAGAGCCAGGCTGAGTTAGATTTATGTTTTGTCTTATCTAGCTTTGCCCGTCCTTCTGCTGTTCCTAAACAATTCCTATCGCTGTGTTATTTGAGCACCTTGTATCTGCATCTGCAGCGTGTACAGACGGGAGAGACAGCTCCCTCATCCCTGAGCCACGCTGGGGGGGAGCTGGCCATCAGGTGTGGATGGGGCTTCTCACTCCAGCAGGCAGTGCCCTGGAAGGGAAAATCCTCTCCAGGGAAAAAGCCTATTGCCTTGTACAGAGACTTCCCTCCCTTCCAGCCTCGCCAGCTGCCGAAAGCTGTGCACATGAACAGACACTGAAGAGAATTACCCCCCTTGGGTCTTCTTTGGTGCACAGATTTTGAGTCTTTACTCATCAAAACAATGTCTGGAAATGCCTAGCCCTGAGCCAAATCTCACCAGATGTTGCCCTGCTTGGAGACTGATGTGTTCTTTGACTTCAGCCAGGAACAGGGCCATGTTTTAAGCCCACATTTCCCATCCTGTGCACACAGGTGATCCTGCCCTGGCGGTGGTGGCATCCTAGTGGCATCACTTGCCTTGGCTGGCCACAGCCCAGGGCTCTGAGCAGAGACCAGCAGATCAGGAACACACTGGCACTCTTATCAGTGTTCTGATAATAGTTTTGGAAGCAGAGAGAGTATTTCTCTCATGCCATGTTGCATTGCTCCCCTGGGGAACATTAAATAGGCATATGCATCACTGGGGGTGCAGGAGGGATGTTCATCTGGGCTGTGTTGCTGTACATCTGCCTTTTGGATAATCTATCATCAAGTAGAAATACTTGTTAATTATTCAGTCTTAGTAATTCGAAGTTGTTAATAATGGAAGAAGTGGATATTGCTGTAAATTAAAATCAATGGTTTGCATAACATCTTTTATCAAATCTGAGTGCTCTGGTTTCCAAGCTTGCTTCCCTGTTTAATAAAGCAGAGATTGATGGGTTTGCTATTACGAGGAAATGAGCTTCAGGCAAAATGATTGTTGGTTAGTAGGAATATAGAAATCACTTAAGGAAAAAGGTGAAATACTGATGTGGAATGAATGCTTAAAACACACATATGGACATATTTAAAAGGCTCTTCTGCATAGCCATTAATGTGAAGGGAAAAAAAGGGATAATTATTTTTTCAAGCTCAATTTCCACTTTCCTGTAAACACTCCAGCTTTCTTAAATGAACTCAAGTGCTTTTGCATATTTTGTGAAGCAATTAAACTGCATAGATAAGTCATGTTGGTCAGACCATGCACATTGCTCTGGTTTCCATCACACATCACACCCTGACCTCCCCACCACTGCAGCAGGAAAAAGCACTGATAACCAGCTCAGTGCTGGGAGCACCTCGGGCACTGCACAGATACTCCTGCAGGAGTGAGAGATGGGAAGGAGAGTCAGGGTTGGATAAATAATGCTCTGCTTTTGGGGGCAGAGGAGCACAGCTGATGAAAAGGTGGCTGGATGGCCCTTTTCCGAACCGGAGGGCAATGACTCTGCCTGCACAGGTAACCTGGGGCATCTCCTGGAGGGAACCAGGGACTGCAGAGAGCACCTTCTAACAAGGGATGTGCACAGTTCTCACTGAAGAAGATTAAAAGCTGAGAGCAGGGGTAGCCTAGGAAAGAGCTTTCTTCTTGATTTAACAGTGCCCTCAGTGTACAGGGAATACATGGAACAGTTGCTTTGCTTTGTTTTCAACCAAGCCATGGCATTTCCCTCTGTAACTCAAGCTGACGTGATATTTCATGGAGGTCTTTAACTACAAATAAGCTGTCATTTGCCTCTCCTCTTTTCTACTCCACTGATTGTTCCTAGGCATAAAATTGGAGGCTGAGTCTTAAACACTTAAAAATCAAGATAAGCTATTTTATGAGTAAACCTGACAATGTGTGTCTCAGTATAGAAACATGACAATAGGGAAGATATTATTTGATCTATGGCTTTCCAGCTGTTACCATATTCTTTTCTACTGCCACCTAAAAATATTAAT